GATAATAAAACTTACGTCCTTGGAGTCTCATCTCACAGCCACTCTGAGCCGCAACCGCACCAAGCTTTAACTAGGGAACCCTTGAATTTTTACCAAAAGTTCCAGAGCAAACTGGGTACCAGCACTGCTTCCTCGGGAAAGGCACTGGTGGGCTTGGCTTGTCCCCACAGAGTGGCTGCCCTTGGGCCAGAGGGTGCCAAGTGAGCCCATGGAAGGTGCCGCGCATGAGCAGTTCAGGGCCGTCAGGAAGAGCAGCCAGGCAGAGCAGAGAACTCAGGGCCCAGTGAGGGAAAGGCAACATGGGCTTTGGGAGAGCCAGGCCAGACATGTTTACAAAAATCCAGTCTCTAAGGGAGTAAATATGCATGTGGACTTTTTTTTTTAAGCCTAGACTCTCAATATTTGACCCTCTTTGGAAATGGAGAACCAGGGTCAGTTCTGTAGGGTAAAAGGGGGAAAGACAAACTTCGTTTCCAATCCCAGCTCCAGCAGATAGCAGCCGTGGGACCTGGGGCAAGTTACTTACCATCATGAGCTTGCCGCCTGCCTGTGTGTAAAGCCACTTTGTCCTAATCTCTGTCTCAAGGTGGCTGGGAGGAGTAACTGACATTCTCTACTTGAGAACAGGCTGCTTATAAGCACTCTTTTTTGAGTCCAAATGGACCAAGAAGGGTTTAAACATCCAGTTCCTGGAGGTGGTTCCCCTAACTGGAGTGTGAGTTGGGCCTTCCGAGTTTTAAAATCTGGAATCTCTCATCTTCCTCAAGGGTACGTGCTCTCTTAGGCATCTTTTCCAAAAAGGTTTTGTCAATCTTTCGAGCCTATTGGGACAAGGCACCGCTCCACCCGCCCTGCCGTGCTCTGCTGTGCCCACCTGAGCTGCCAGCCCCTCTCCTGGATGCTGATGCATTTGATGAGGCCCGGTAGGGACACGTGTGCTTTGTTCTGGCTGCTTGGCCGTCTGCCAGGGGCTGCAGATGACCCACATTCTCCACTCCAGAAGGCCTGAAGCGAGAGTGCCAGGGCAGGACCCAGCAGCCCGTGCCTCACTCACCCGAGGTAGGTGGCCCAGGCAAGTGCCTCGAAGAAGTCGGGGTGCGGTCCCAGGCTGGGGCCCCTGTCCAGGGGACACAGGGCCACACCACCAGCTCTTCTGATTGCAAGCATGGGCGGTCAGTGCAGCCACACAGCCTCTCCGGTCCTCCAGCTATCGGACGTTCTTCAGGAAATCCAGCCTTAATTAACCAAAGCCAGTCTTGATATTCGCAAACCAAGATCCTCAGCTGGCACGGGAGCCCACCATCGCTTACGACAAGAATTTCAGCGGTAGCGTCTCCTGGCACTCTGCCTTCAAGTCTCAGACTCCAGCCTTCTCTTACCCGGGCGCACACTGATGCCTGACCCTCCCTCACGAGCTCTCGGGCCCCCGTGTTCCATCCCTTTCCCCATGGCTGATGGTTGCTGGTTGATACGCCCAGCACTTTTTACTCACCTCGTGATCCAGTCCACATGCATGCACACTATTGTTTTCCTCCACTTTCAGATTGTGTAATTTTTCTCCAATTTCTTGTTATTTCCTTTGTAATCCTCAGCCTCTCTTTGCTGGCACTTTGAATGTTAACTGCTTTTGTATCTATTGGCTGTGGAAGCAGTCCGCCTTGGAATGGCAATAATTGGAAGAATTGTAAAACAGTAGTCAGACCAACTCAAAGTGACCTGCTTTCTATTATCACTATGTGCTGTGATTCTAAACAATGTCAGTGACAGGATGTTACTCCTGCCAGGCTCATGGCTCCCTCTGCATCCAGCCCTAGGTGTACCACTGCCTACTGGGAAGGTGGAATGGATACTCATGGAACACTTTGAAGCTAAGCCAGAACCGAAGTCTCTAGTATCAGAAGGTCATTATGTCTGCAACTGACTCACAAACAGTCCAGAAAAATTGCGCGCACGCACACACACACACAGAAAAGGATTCAACAAATGTAGTAGAATTTAAACATCTGGGGAATCAGGGCGAAGGGTGTATAGGAATTCTTTGTTCCATTCTTACAACTTTTCTGAGAGTCTGAAACTGTGCCAATATAAAGAGCTAAGACAAAAACGCTAAGGAGACCTGGCACACAGCCGTGGACTAAGTTCCAGAGTCCTCTGACAGCGGTTGCTGGCGGGACATCAGGGGCACGAGGTTTGCTTCTGAGCTAACCACGAGTATTCACAAGGGGGCAAGTCCCCAGAGGAACCTCTGATGCATCTGAGTGTGGTGTTAGCTGGGAAGGCGGTGTAGACAGGAGGGTGGCCTCTGTTGTCCTGGACAAGCAGGTGCCAGGAGCACCCTGTGGGCACTCAGTGGCAGCTGGCCCCACCCTGGGGCAGCATGAGGGACACACAGGCCCAGGACAAGAGAGACCCAGGCTTTTTCAGGCCCTCTCATTGTGTGACCCGAGCATGTCCTTCTTTTGGCCACAAGTGGAGGTCGGCGCCTGGAGCACCGGCAGGCCCCTGGGGAAGGAGGTGGCTGACTCTCTGTGTCCCAGGCCCTGCCTGAGAGTCTGGGATAGCTCAGACCTGGGGACAGAGAGTTAGTCCCAGGTGGTCCTCTCCATGGGCAGGAGAGGCAGGAGCGGGATCACTGGAGGTCTCCTCAGCTGCTGGTCCCCGACGCCCCACTGCCGGGCCAGGGCCTGTCTGACTGCGGCCAGGCTCTCCCCCAGTTTTCCTTCCTCCCACTGGGGCTCAGACCTGCCCTGGGTTGCTAGGGACCCGGCTCTTCCAAACCAGGCTGAGCAAATCTCTTCTGTCCTCCAGCTCCCACCCCAGCCCTGACATCTGCATCTTCCGGAGAATTCCAAGCAGAGTTATGGCCCCCATTTCTTGTTGTGTCAACCCTGAGCTAAGTATTTTAACTCACGGTATTTCGCTTAATCCCCACAGCATCCTGAGAGACAGGTGCTGTTCCTGCTGTCTCACAGACCAGGAAGCCGGGGTCTGGAGTGCAGTCACTTGCCTAAGGCCACACAGCCAGCTCGCTGGCAGTACGAGCAAGGATGCTCATCCACGCCTCGCTGTCTCCGAAGCCCATAACTGCCACGTCCCCTGTGTCCCCTGCCTTCTTTACCACCTCTCTTCCCGGGAGTGGGTCTGCTTCTGTGAGCAGAGCCAGGCCTGGGGGCTCGGGGAGCGCGGTTAGCCACACGCCTTACCAAGGTGTGATCCCAGCCTCCGCACTGGTGACCCACCACCCTGAGGGGCTCAGAGCTCTCCTCTCTTTCCTGGCCGTGGCCTGGCCCAGGCCCTGCCGAGCAGTGCCAGGTGGAGAAGTCTGCGACTTGGGGAAGTGCCCACGTAAGCAGGTGACTCTCCCCCTCTGGATGTTGCTGTTCTCAGTTCTTTGTGTGAAACTGATTACTGGTAGGTCCTGGGCTGTCCCCATTGCTCTGGCTGCAGAACAGCTCCTCCTTCCCATCCAATGCCTCGGTGTCCCCAAGGTCATCTCATCCTCCTTGTCTTGGCTCTGAAGGCAGTAGAGCAGGATGGGGGTGGGGGTTTCTGGGTGAATGGTGGTTGTACCAGGAGCTGCTGAGGAGGTTCTGGTGTAGACCTGCTTGGGGAGCTGCCCGTCTGTGGCTCTCAGGAGTCGGCCGGCTGAGGAGGGGTTATGGGGCCGGTCACACACCTCAGGCTGTGAGCCCTGCACAACCTCCAGAACCTGGGAGGCAACCCAACTGGCCCCCAGAGGTCCTGGAGGTCCTCCCTTGGCAGATTTGCTGTCCATCAGAGTTGGGCCCTGAGCGCCATGATCTGGGTGGAGGCCCACCAGCCAAGCTCAGGAGATTGAGGTATCCACCCAGAAATCCTGGGATGGACGTGGCCCTGGGGAAACCATCTCAGGACAGAGTAGGGGGGCAGCAGGACGCCATCAGGCCAGGATGTGCAACCATGGTGGTCTCGAGCTCAGGCCCAGGGGCCAGGCCACCCAGGGCCTTCTGGACAGTGCTACAGCCATGATGACCATCAGGCCTCTCCTTTTGGGGGGCTACCCTTTCAGCCTGTTAATGCTGTGAAGGATGCAGCCCACCGTAGGAATTCCTGACTGGTGGTGGGAGCTGTTCTGCCCTGTAAGGCAGGGGTGGTCTTTCTCTATCTTTTCCCGTGCTCTGAGCATCTCCCAAAGGTCCACAGTTGGTTTCAGGCCGCTTAGAGTGTGTGCAAAGTAGTCAGAGTTGTGTGTGTGAGTGTGTGAGCATGTCCAGTGATGGTAACAGGGGTCCACAATGCTCATCACACGCTAAGTGCTGTTTCCCAGCCATCCTGCCTGCCCTTCATTGCTCATCTGATACGATAGCAGCCTCGATCCTGAAGGCTCCACGGGGTCTTGCATCTGGGGCTGAGTGGTTAACTCTCTGGGACACCTGAGAATCCTTTCCCCCAAGGACTTAGGGACCTCTGCGCCTGTACTGCCTACAATCTCCCTGTGCCCAGGACTGTGTTTATGTGGGCAGCTCCTGGGGAGGTGGCCTGGTGGAGGCGGGGACCATCTGCCCCAGGCTGCCTGCAACTTCCCTGTGCCTGGGGCTGTGTTTACGTGTGCAGTTCCTGGGAAGGTCGGACTGGTGGAGGCTCCCAGAGGGTCTGACTTCCAGTCCTCAAGGCCAGACTGTGACTCCTGGGGAGGGGTGGGGGCTGGGAAAGTCTGGGGGAAGAGGGTTGCGTCTCCAGTTGTCATTAAATGGAGACAGTCCCACCCGACTTTCTTGCTGCTGGCCTTGTGCCTCATGGCCCTCTTACAACAGCGGCAACAACGGTTAGCACATTCTACAGGAAGGGGAACCAAGGCACAGAGGGGCTGAGTCTCCCCACACAGCTCCACAGCAGGCTTCCTGGGTCCTGGGGCTCTTTGGAGGGCGTTTGTCAAAAACGAGGATTTCTGGACCTGGCTGAGACTAACTGAATCGACCCTGGGAGGAGGCCCAGGAGCCAGCAGTTTAGCCTGTGAGATCCCTGTTTCCAGGCTCCGTAGCAAGTTCCTGATGAAATAACTTCCCGAAGGAGCTGGGTGGAGGGGCGGGGTGGAGCAGGGCAGGCCTCCCTGCTGGGGTCTACGTGAGGACAGTTTGGGGAGCAGGAGGAGGCTGGGATCCCAGCATCCGGGGCTCTTTCCTCCCTCCCCGTGGACACCCTACAGGAGGGTGAGAGGGGCAGGGGGGCCATCTGAATGGGTGTGTGGGGGGGGTATTTGGAAGTGAGAGAATACAGTGAGAGGGCACTAGGAAAGCAAGTGGTAGGTAGGGATGTCCACCCCGACACTAGACTTTGGGGTGTTCTTTTTCAGAAGGAAGCGGGGGTAGGGGGTGGGCCTTCAGAAGGTTTTCCAGCAGAGGAGCCATGGTGTTGGGGGCTCAGGAGATGACTGGGCTGTGGGAGGACGGACTGGAGGCTCCTGGGCAGTCCTGGGAGGGGAGGAGGACCTGGACTCAGGGGCTGGAGGATGGAAGCGGGGACAGATTTACTGCTGTCCTGGGGCTTGGGAGGAGGAAGGGGAAGTGTCCCCTTGTGAAGCCTAGGAGGGGCGATGAGACCCTTTGGGGCACGTTGACTCAGAGGGGCTGGCCGGCTGGCCTTTGGAGGTGTGTCTGAAATGTGGGGCAGGAGATGGGGGCTGGAGGGACACCGTGATAAGGAGTTATGCCAAAAGTCAGCACGCTGGAGGGCAGCATGTGAGACCCAGGACACTCAGACTCTCTCTGAAGCTCAGTTTGCTCATCTGTAAAATGGGTTGTTGGGAGGGTTCTGGGGGGTAAAGGCGCTCCTGGAAGCGCCCCGTGAAACGCGTGGAAACACAACCGCTCTGCTTTGGGTGGGTGAGGGGGCGCAGATGAGCGTGTCTGGGTCCCGCGGCCGCGCGGGCTGCGGGGGCGGCCCTGCCCCCTGGTGGCAGTCCGGGCCAGGGCGCCGGGGCCCCCGACAGGCGGGGCGACGGGGCTGCTCGGGCCGGACGTCCTCGGTCCGCCAGTCCGCTCGCTCCTGGCGCGCGTCTGTCAATCGGTCGGTCCAAGGACGCCTGCCCCGTGCTCGGCGCGTGGGCTGCCGGCTTCGGGGTGTCGCGGGCGGCGGACGGCATGGTAGGTGAGCCGAACGCCGGCCGGACGCGGCGCGGCAAGGCGGGAGGAGCGCGTGGCCAGGGGTTCCCCGGGGCGGCGGAGATCGGAGGGCCCCGCCGGGACGCCCCCTCCCCGGGGGGCTCGCAGCCTCCAGGGTTATTTGTCTTATTGTGGGCCACGCGCGCCACGGGGCTGGAGGCTCCGGGGCGGCGACCCTTCCTGGGGGCGTCCGGCGCCTCCCGAGCGGGCGCCCGCGCGGTCCCAGCTCATCCCCGCGGTTCCCCGCTGCGCCCCCGCCTTGGTGGGGTGGGGAGTGCGGGTGCGGCGGGGACCGGAGGGAAGTTTGAAGGGATGAAAGAGCGCCTGGATCCCAAGATGCGGGCATGAGGTGCGAGAGAGGCAGGGAGGCTGGGGGAGGCTTCTGCCAGAGGCGGAAGGTGAGGAGGAAGATGCTCGGGACTAAGAATACTTGGGGTCTGGGAGAGCGAAGGACCTGGAAGAGAAAGTTGAATGATACGTGGGCGACGCGAGGGCCCAAGCTCCGATCTGAGGAGAGGAAATGAAGCTGAAGGAACAGGGAGAGGGTCCAGGACCCGAGCCTGAAAATGCGCGGTCGCTCCGAGAGGAGGGTTGGTGGTGGGCTGGGGAACAAGCTCAGGAGGGCATCAGGGCTGCTGGCTTAGGGCAGCTCCTGGCCTGTCACGCCGACCCACATGCCCAGCCGAATCCCTTTCAGCCTCTGCCCCATCTCTCCTGGACTCGCCTCCCTTTCCCTGTGGGAAGTAGGATCGTGTCACCGTGCATTGAAATGGAGCACCTAAAATGAACCAGACACACTCCTGAGAACTTTATATGTATTTCCTCCTTTAATCCTCACAGAAACCACGAGGTTAGGCTCTATCGACATCCCCATTTGGGATCCTTCATCCTCCCAGATGAGGAGACTGTGGCACAGTGAGGGGAGGTCACAGAAGAGGGCGGCAGAGCTGGCATTTGACCCCAGGCTAGTCTGTTTAGCTCCATGGCCTGGTTTCTTGACCAATATGTTTGGTGGACTGACAAAGAGATGGGGAGCCCGAGAGAGGACAGGGAACCCCAGAACTGGCGGTGTCAAGGGTGTCAAATATTTCAGCTTTGACCAGTTCTAGTGATAGAAAGCAGAAACAAGAACCAACTTTTGCATCAGCATTATAGTTTTTGGCCATTTCATACGCTCACTGGATCCCCACCGTGACCCAGTCCTCACAGTGGGGTGACAGATAATCAGGCCCTTCTGTGTGTCAGGCAGGCCCTGTGTTAATACCTTTCGCGGATTAAATTCCTTCGATCCTTGTTATATGGAAATAGCCACAGAAAGGTTACCATGCAAATGGTCACACAGCCTGGAATCCAGGAGGCTGGATTTGAATCCAGGCAGTTGCTTCCAGAGCTCTTGCTCCTAAAGACCATGTGACACTGTGCATTGTGCCCATTTATGGATGCTCAAACTGAGCGCTTCTCCCAAAGTCCATGGCTTGAAAGGGAGAGACACAAGGGGAGACTACTGATGGCAAAACCCATGCTTGAGAGGGGTCCTCATTTATTCGAAGCCTTCAATAGCCCGTGAAATTTAAAACTGAAGTTCCACTTTTTATCATTTTTAAGATGTACATTTTTACATCTCTGAAGTTGTAACGCATCTTACAATGGATGACCGAGTTTTTTCTTTCTCAGAGGTACATAAAATAACGGTCCTCCTAATGTCAATGGCACTTTTGGTTTGATGAATGACAACGGAGCCAGGGTTCCCCGAGTGACTTTTCTGGGTGTCTCTCTCTCTCTGTTCCACAGGCTCCCCTCTGCCTCAATTGCTCCATCCTCCCTGGAGACATGTCCCCGGGGCGTTCAAGGATCCCCATGCTCTGCAACAGCAGTAGGGCCGGGAGGCTCTTTGACCCCAAAGATTTGAACCTGACTGATGAGGAGCTGAAACTCAAATACCTGGGACCCCAGCAGACGGAGCTGTTCACGCCCATCTGTGTCACGTACCTGCTGATCTTTGTGGTGGGCGCTGTGGGCAACGGGCTGACCTGCTTGGTCATCCTGCGCCACAAGGCCATGCACACGCCCACCAACTACTACCTCTTCAGCCTAGCCGTGTCGGACCTGCTGGTGCTGCTGCTGGGCTTGCCGCTGGAGCTCTATGAGATGTGGTCTAACTACCCCTTCCTGCTGGGCGCCAGCGGCTGCTACTTCCGCACGCTGCTCTTCGAGACAGTCTGCCTGGCCTCTGTGCTCAATGTCACGGCCCTGAGTGTGGAGCGCTATGTAGCTGTGGTGCACCCGCTGCGGGCCAGGTCCGTGGTGACTCGGACCCGTGCGCGCCGTGTGCTCGGGGTCATCTGGGGCCTCGCCGTGCTCTGCTCTCTGCCCAACACCAGCCTGCATGGCATCCAGCAGCTGGACGTGCCCTGCCGGGGCATAGTACCCGGCTCGGCCATGTGCACCCTGGTCCGCCCACGGGCCCTCTACAACCTGGTGGTGCAGACCACGACTCTGTTCTTCTTCTGCCTGCCCATGACCACCATCAGTGTGCTCTACCTGCTCATCGGGCTGCGGCTGCGGCGTGAGAGGCTGCTACTGCTCAGGCAGGAGGCCAGGGGCAGGGCCAGGGCCAGTGACACCTGCAGGCTCCAGCGACTGCAGGATAGGGGTCGGACGCAGGTGACGAAGATGCTGTGTAAGTGTTGCTGCTGGGAAGAGGGGCTGAGCCGGGCACTAGATATGAGACTGGGGTTTCCAGGACCTGCGGGAAGGGGCTGAGTGTCTGGGTTTACGATGGAGGCTGAGGGTGAGGTTTGAAGCAACCCTCTGCCCCTGTGTGTGTGTATATGTGTATATGTGTGTGCGTGCATGCGGGCAGACTTTTTTTAGATGACCCTGAGAGAAACTCACGCCAAAGATAAATGTTAACAGCTCGTGGCAGGATCTGCTACCCAATTTTTTTTTTAAAGATTTTATTTTTTTCTCCCCAAAGCCCCCCAGTACATAGTTGTATATTCTTCGTTGTGGGTCCTTCTAGTTGTGGCATGTGGGACGCTGCCTCAGCACGGTTTGAAGAGCAGTGCCATGTCCGCGCCCAGGATTTGAGCCAACGAAACACTGGGCTGCTTGCAGCGGAGCGCGCGAACTTAACCACTTGGCCATGGGGCCAGCCCCTCTGCTACCCAATTTGCGGAGCCCAGTACAAAAGGAAAATTCGGGGTCTCTTGTTCAAAAATTGCTAAGAATGTTGAGACATCAATAGTCGAGCTTTAAACCAAGCCCAGAGCCCTTCTAAGCTTGGGCCCCTGTGCAAACGCACAGGTGGCACACCCATGAGGCCAGCCCTGGTTCACGGAACCAAACCACAGATTGGTCAGGGGCATGTGGCTGGGCTCCAGGGTGACAGAGCTGTTCGTGGAAACTGGACCCTCCGGGTCTTCCATCTTTTCTCCTAAACCTGTCTTGGCTCTGTCCTTCCCTACAGCAGCCTGGAGGCATGGCCACAGAATTCCCTTCCTTTAGTGGCTACTGAGAAGTCTCAGGGCAGGATTTTGACTAATGGGTTTAGGGTATGGCCCGCCCCCGGGCCGGAGGGGCAGGAACCACATGGTGGAATCTGGGGAGAGCAAGGCTCCCGAAAGAAGAGGAAGCGGTGTTGGAGAGGCAAGATGGTGAATTTCTTCCATCCGTGTCTGTGGTTCCCTGGGGACCACAGGAGTGACCGTGGTCTAAAGGAGGCTCAGCAGGAGGCGTGCTTGTGAGGGTCAGTGCGCAGAGCCCAGGAGAATCAGGGCAGGGGTGCAGACTGGGGCCACCCAGGGCATGCCCAGCTGGGTTGAGGCTCTGGATCCTACTGTGGCCTAGGCCTGGCTCTTTTCCAAAAACAGTGGCCCTGGGGAAGCAAAACAAACTGATACGAAGCCAGTCATTGACCTCCTCCCCATCCTGCCCCACCTCAGCAGGGCCTGAATCAGGCAGGTGGAGTGAGCCAGGGCAGGAAGCGCTGGGGCCTTGGTCAAAGCCATGGGCTTATAGCCGGCTATCTGGGCACTGGCCCATTCCCAGAGAGAAACGCACTTCTCTTGCCCCCCAGGAACAGTGCCCCAGAGTGTGGGGTGATTTGTGCAGCCCCCTAAGATGGGGCTGACCCCAGAGGTCTGGGCTTTCCTCCCAGCTCTGCACTGTGAAGCCTGCTCTACAGACCAAATGGCCATCCCCGCCCTGCCCCTGCCTCCTACTCCCCTGCCCCACAGGGCTGGGTCTGCTCAGCTGGGGCGGCTCTGCCCCGGGAAGGTGGGTGTTTCCTAAGCCTGCCTTGCTTGCTGGCCTGGGGCTCTGGCTTTCTTCTCTCCCTCCCACCGGCCCCATCTTCACCTTCTGAGGGCCGACTGTGCACCAGGCTCTGTGGTGGGGACATTGCAAGTGACATCCTGATTGAAATCCAGGATTATGAGGAAAACCACCCTGGGGTGTGACGAGGAAGACACTGCAGGGGAAAGATCATAAGTCAGAGAAGCAAACACGAGAAACAAGACACAAAGATCCAGGCAGGCCTGGTGGCCGACACCCAAGAAGGGCGTGGCTGGGGGAAGCTCTGGGGAAAGAGTGAGGGCTTGGCCAGCCTGGCCTGCCTTTGGCTGAGGGGTGCAGGGGCTCAAGTAAAGCATCAGCGGGCATGAGCCCCGAGTGGGCTCCCAGAGCGGGCCTTAGCCCCACAGTCTGTCAGGCTGGGGCTCAGCATCCACAGCTCAGTCATCCAGTCCCAAGTTCCATGATGAGAGAACCGGACTGGGCCAGCTTGGCTCAGGCGTCTGCACCTGGTGCAGTCGGCTGTGGCTGGAGCAGGGCACACGCCCACTGCCGTGTCCATGACAGTGGTGAGAGCAGCCTCGGCAAACAGGCGCAGCCAGGGCAGACAAACTTCCAGAAACTTCCACATGGACAATGGGCATGGGTGGTCTGTGGGACAGGAGAGGAGGTGACAGTGAAGCCCCGGGAAGGCGGTTGAGAGGGCCCCGGTGGGAACCCAAGTCTCCCTCTCTGTCCCCGCAGTTGTGCTGGTCGTGGTGTTTGGGATCTGCTGGGCGCCGTTCCACATCGACCGCCTCATGTGGAGCTTCGTGTCCCACTGGACCGAGAGCCTGCACCTGGCCTTCCAGTACGTGCACGTCATCTCCGGCGTCTTCTTCTACCTCAGCTCCGCCGCCAACCCCGTGCTCTATAGCCTCATGTCCAGCCGCTTCCGGGACACCTTCCAGGAAGCCCTGTGCTTGGGGACTGGGTGCCACGGCCACAGATCCCACTGCAGCTCCCACAGCCTCAGCAGGGTGACCACGGGCAGCACCCTGTGTGACATGGGCTCCCTGGGCGGCAGGACCTACCCTCTGGCTGAGAACGGTGACCCAGAGGGACAGCAGGAGACTGGCCCCTCCTGAGTGGAGCCTCAAAGCAGTGTCCCCCAGGGGGGACCAGAGGGCCACTCGCAGCTTTGAGAGCCACACTCGTCCTCCTCTGCGGGGGTGTCTTCATGACCTGTCCCCCTTTGTGCCCCGTCCCACTTCAGCCTAGAAACTCTGACCAGCCCCTCAGTGACCCCTGCCCCCACCCACGCATTGGAAGGGATATAAAGTTGCTGTCTGCCCTCCAGAGCCCCAGGCCCTGGCTCCAGTCCTTCCCCGGCAGGAATAGCGCGGTTGGTTAATGGGCACAGCCGGCCTCCATCTGGGACTCCCCGACCCCACCCCCACTTTCTGAAACGTTTCCATGGGCCTCTACTCTTCCCTCCCATTTCTTGTTGAGCTTCTGCAGGGTCTGGCCCATTCTGTCCCTCTCTAGCTCTTGGCCTGCACCTGGGACCCTCCTCCCACCTGACCCCTCCCTGCCCCCCAGTCGGCTCATTCTGCTCTGGGGTCTCCTCCGTCTGGTGGCACTGCTGGGCGGCGGGGGTGCCAGGGATCCAGGGGACCTGGTTCCAGTCTCAGCCCGGCTGCCACCACCTTGCTGCGTGGCATCAAGCAAATGGCCTCACTTTGCAGGCCTTGGTCCCCTGTTTGCAAAATGAAAGGGACCCTCACCTTCTAAGCGTCACGCTTTGGCACTTTGGCTGTGGTTTGCTGTGCGTGCATAAGTCACTGCTTGTAACGAACACAGCTGATCCCCTCAGATTAACAAGGCGGAAATTACTCTCTACTTCCTCGTCACCCCCACCCCTACCTCTCCCCTGACCTCCACGTGCACCCCCAGCCCCAGCCACTCAGGACATGTGCTTTGCTCCTCCTAGAACAGCTGTGAGCAGGACCCCTGCCTGCCTCTGTCCCACGGCAAGGAGAGTCCCTGTGAGGACAGTTCTGCTTGGGGCTCAGGGAGGTGACAAGAGGGACAGGACAAGTAAGTCCAGAAGCGAAGTCCCATCCCGAATCTGCATGGGCCAACTTGGTGTTCATCGGGAGGCAGTCAGTGGCTGGAACTTGTCCCTGCACGCTGTCCTCCTGAGAGGAGACTGCAGTGGCAGGAACCCTGGCCTACCCGACGAGGAGCTGCAGTGCCCGGGCCGAAGCAGGCAGCATGCTACGGGGGCCACTGGTCCCACTTCTCCCTGAGACCCGCTACCCCAGACCCCAGCTTCCCTGCCTGGAAGGTGGAGGAGATTGTACAGGCTTGCACGTAGCGTCCTGGAGTTTTTGAAGTTCAGTTATAAAAATAACAAATGCTCATTGTAGATAATTTGGAAAGTGCAAATAGGCAAAAATGAAAACAATTTTAAGTAATGAAAAACCACCCTTGTCAGGGACCTGGGGGGAGGGGGAAATGGAGAGTTGTTTAACGGGGACAGAGTTTCAGTTTTGCAACATGAAAAAGTTTGGAGATTGGTTGCACAGCAGTGTGAATGTGGTTAAACAATATTGAACTGTACACTTAAATGGTTAAGATGGTGAAGTTTAAGTTATGTGTATTTTACCACAATATTTTTTAAAGAAAGGACTAAGTCTAAAGGAAAAGAAAAAAAAAGCCACGGGTAACTTTCTTCTCCAGAAGTAAGCATTATATATAAGATAGGAGGGGGGAATGGGATTCTTCGGAGAAAGGAACTTGCGAGAAAAGACTGTGCAGAGCTGTGATGCCCAATGTCGCCTCTGAAATGAGCTCCCAGGGGGCCTTGGGGTGGCGTGTGGGGAGCAGCCAGACCCCAAAGTTCAGGCTGGAGCCTGCAGTTGTTCCCAAAGACTAACTGTGGACTCCCAGGGGCCTCTCTTAAGTGACAGTCAGAGATGACTTATGCTTCTAAGGAACTTTGGTCAGCGTGTATTTATAAAGGGCCTACTATGTGCGCTGGGCAGACGGGGGAAGGTGGGGCAGTTCTGGGCTGCCCCTTGAGAAAAAGGGATGGAGGTGGAAAGGCCAGCCAGCAGGATCCCACCCTCTCTAGGAAGCAGCATCCCCTGCAGCTTGCTCTTCCACAGTGGTCGGGGTGGGGACAGAATTCTCCTGAGTGCCCAGTGCCACTCCCAGGCCAGGAGTCCTCAACTCATTTTAAGTGTCTGGCTCATCTGGGACACAAGTCACCCACATCCCTCCTCCTCCTGTGTTCAAGGGTGGGACCCTCTCCACTTCCCGTCTGCTCCACTCCTGCTGTTATCCCGGGCGACGTCAAAGTCCACGTGGATGGCCCACTGCTGCCCTGGTATCAGCTCCTGATCTTTCCTGCAGCTCTGAGACCTCTCCTCCATGCTGGCCTCTTGGCCCCTTGGTCACACCCTCACTCCCAGGACCTCCAGGAGTTTTTCCATCTCTGGGAGTGTGAACTCTTGATCATGACCGCCTCCTTCTTGCTCTCTTACTCTGTTGTCCCCATGATAGATTGAGTCTTCAACCTCATCCAGCCTTCCTGCTTCTCCACTGCTCTGCTTTCTCCCAGTCCATCAGCTTCCTCTGACCTTCACCTCCTTTCTGATGGGTCCTGGACCCCACGGTCACCACACACGACCCGCTCTGCCAGTATTTCCGAGGGCCAAGGTGAACGCACTGGCATCACCCTCTCCTTCTCAGAAAAAAGTTTATTTTCTTTTGGAATTCAAAGTCCAGGATTAGTCTCCTAACAAACAAAGCTGCATTTGCCCACCCTTCCATCTGCTCGGGCACTGTAGAGTACGCAGCTCTTCACAGCGGTTCTTACATAGTCAGATGGTATTTCCAAATCGATTCTGACTTCCGGGAGCCCATTTCATTTTGTACACTTTTCAGAGTCTCCTCCCTTCCCCATTCTTGTCTTCTAATGGATCCACCAAGTTTTCTTTGTCCCAAGTTTTCCTTGTAGAGGGGAGTTGCCTTTTGGGGGGCTCCCTAGCATTTGAACTCCTCTCCATTGGGTGTGTGTGAATCTTGGTGGGAGACCAAGCTGGGGCTCCCACTAAATAAGCTGAAAGTGCTCCCGACCCTCTCCACCACTGATGACACAGTGACAAGTGGCAAGTCACTGATGACATGACTTGCACTCAGCCAGCGGGATGACCTGACTTGGGACTCCTATCAGGAGCAAGTGATACTGAGACCCACGACAGCGGGGGCAGCCGTGTCCAGGGCAGCGGTGCTAACAGCAGCATCTTGTGCAGGCTGCTCTGGGGTTCCTGCTGCCCAGCCTCCCTTGGTTTCTTCCCATTTTCTCTGCCAGTTTTTCTAGCTTTCCTGTTAATGTTCTGAGCTACAGAGAGCCTTTCAATAAATTCCTTTTCTGCTTGAGTTGGTTTGCTGTTGTCTGCACCCAAGAACCTTAACAGATCTATCCATCGCTGGTTTGAAGGTTACACATTCTATTTGTTCTACTTGTGGTTATCTTTACACGTTTCTAACATAAGCAGATAGTATCACTGATGTTTTTAAAACCTAAACTACAGTCTGTAATACTTAATCATCACTCTCAGTCTCTCTCACTCTTTTTTTTTTTCTGTTTGAGGAAGATTAGCCCTGAGCTAACTGCTGCCAGTCCTCCTCTTTTTGCTGAGGAAGCCTGGCCCTGAGCTAACATCCGTGCCCATCCTCCTCTACTTTTTTAATATGTGGGACGCCTACCACAGCATGGTATGCCAAGCGGTGCCATGTCTGCACCCGGGATTCGAACTGGCGAACCACGGGCCGCCGAGAAGCGGAACGTGCGAACTTAACCGCTGCTCCACCAGGCTGGCCCCTCACTCTGTCTTTAAAACTATCTTTTTCTTTTTTAAGAGGTGAGACAAGGACAGATTTAAGGAATTTGAGTCTAGAAACATATTTACATTTTTCTAACAGTCTAAACCTCTTCAGCAAAAGAAAAGAACTTTAGTATGCTTCTACTGACAAAGCTGTCTCTGGAATCAGGCTGCCCTGGTTTGAATCCTGGCTCAGCTAGTAATTACCCTTAAAAGTCAGAATGGACTTAGGCCAAAGTCAGACTGGACTGAAAGGTATTGACATTTCTAAAGAAAGAATGCGCAACCTGCTTGCACACAAATAAGAGTCAGAGGCCAACGCTGACAGCAGCATCCATCTAAACAGTGTCTAGGTTCCTAAATCTACAAGGTTTGCTCTGAGGATAGTAGTTACTTTCCAAGGTAAACGTCCCTTTGTGTGGCCTCTATAAATGCAACACCCCAACCCCACCCTCTTTCAAGCTTCTGCACAGGGCAGGACAATTGAGAGTTTGTTTAGGAACAGAAGCCAAGTCCCAGGTGAGGGACAGGGGGATTCAGGGAAGGCTGTACCTGGCTGGGTAAGAGTGCCCTGGCTCAGAAGAGATGGCCACAGGCTGGGGCTAGACTGGAGGGCCTGGAAGCTGCTACCGCACGCTTTGGAACATCTACACGAGTACCTGGGATCTTTTAATCTAATATTCAAGTACCTTCATGAGCTCTAAGCAATGTGGGCATCATTCCCTCGGCTAAGAACTACTGAGCAGCACGTGCCAGGCACTGCACAAGGCTGGGAAGAGGGGCATACAAACATATTGGCATATAAGTGCTCTGACAGCTGGAACTCTGAGACACAGATGAGAGGCACCTGCCTCGGTGGAGGGAAGGCTTCCAGGAGGAGGTGATGCTGCTCAAGACTCAAAGTCCTGGGAGAAGGGCTCCAGTTGGCCTCTGAGCTTTGGGTGGGGGAGGGTGGAGCATCTTTAACAACAGTTCCACCAAAACTGAATCCAGGGGAGGAGGGGGCAGACCCTAAGGGAACACGGGCTGTCAGGAGGAGGAATGGACACTGGACAGGCCAAGTGCATTGCTCTCATTCCTCGGACTTCCCCGGGCTGCCCTTCCTGGAACTTGGATTTGGAACTGTCTCCCTGTCTGTCCGCCTCCATCAGACATGCATAGGCAGGATTTCTTTTATTTCTATATTAGTAAATCCAAAAAAAATGAAGTACACACAAGGAAAATAATTACTTCTATTCCCAACACCTACATTAACCACTGTTAACATTTTAGCAATTTGATTCCTATCATTTTCCCACACATACCCCCTCCCCCCATTAGTGAATAATAGATTGTTTTCAATCGTTTGCTTTATAAAACAACTGCCTGGAACCTCTGGTAGAAGGTCGATGGTTATAATGGATGGATGAAGCTGACAACACTCAAACTATCTGATCAATTTTAACATCGCTGAAAGTGGGACAACTAGACGTTAAGCGCCTCCTAGAGGAATTCAACAGAAGTACATGGCACCAACCATGAACCCTTTCTGCAAAAAAACGGGGCCTGAATCTCAGGGAGCCTCCAGACCAACTACCAGTTTACCCGCTGGCTGGTGGCACAGCAGTTAAGTGCGCACCTTCCACTTTGGTGGCCTGGGGTTCCTCGCCTGGATCCGAGGTGCGGACATACGTACTGCTTGTCAAGCCATGCTGTGGCAGGCGTCCCACATATAAAGTAGAGGAAGATGGGCATGGATGTTAGCGTAGCGCCAGTCTTCCTCAGTGAAAAAGAGGAGGATTGGCAGTGGATGTTAGCTTGGGGCCAGTCTTCCTCAGCAAAAAGAGGATTGGTGGCAGACGTTAGCTCAGGGCTAATCTTCCTCAAACAACAACAACAACAAAACCCAATTACCAGTTTATAAGAACCCCGAGGATGGAGGAATATGTTCAAGATACCCCAAAGGTATCAGCCAAATCCAGAATAAGGACAAATGACTTGGCTTTTTCAACAATAGTATTTAGGAGAGGTTCTCTATTATATCTTTAAAAAGATTTAAGACATGTCAACCAAATGTAATGTGGAAATTTTTGAATTCAAACAAACCAACAGTAGAAAGATATTTCTGAGACAGAAAACTGACCGCAGACTAGCTATGAGATGCTAATCAAGGCTCATATCCTATAGAGGTACATAACGAAGTGTTTACAGGTGCACTGATGGGGTGCCTAAGATTCACATTAAAATACTCAAGCAAAAAAAAAAAAAAAAGGAAGAAAAAAAAGGAAGGGAAAAAGGGAAAAAAGTGGGGCAGGGAATAGTTGAAAAGAAAATGGCAAAAATATTGAAGTTTGAAAGCTGGGTGATGGGTAAAAGGGGATTCATTTTTTATTCTATTTGATGTATGTTTGAAAATGTCCACAATAAATTTATTTTTTAAGTATACAATAAAGATTCACATATTTATCTCTCCATCACTGTGACTGCTTCTCTAGGTTGGATACTTGTAAGTGGAATTCCTAAATGTAAGGAATGAGAATTTTAACTTTGGCAATTGCCAAATTTCTCTCCAGGTGTTTGTAATCAGCGAGTTCAGGACACACTACCCCAAAATATGGCATCTCGGCATACTGAATATTTTAAGCTAAAGGAATCTGAAAAACAGCAGGTGCAAGGACTTTCTGACCTTCAGAGACCCCCTCATGTGAGTGGTGCCCTTCCTACACCCGGCAGAAAGAAACATCCTTCTCTCTGAAGACAGGGACCCCGAGAGGGAATTTGAACGAACAGGCCTTGCTGTTTCCCCCAATTTACTACACTCAGCTCATACTCCTTTTCATCCTATCACATTTTTCCACAACTCTATACCATTCATCAAACCTAAGATAAAAACGCTCAGGTTTAACCACGTCTTTGGATCTTCATTTCCTTATGAAGGCTTCCATATCACATAAAATTTATATTAAATAAATTTGTACACTATTCTCATTTCTCCTTTGTTACAAGGCCCCCAACCCAGAACTTAAAGGGTAGAGGGAAGATACATACCCTCCCCCACAGTAACAATTTGCTTTTTCACCAATTTCCCCATAATCCCCAAACACTTGATTGATATTTTAATTTGTTAATGTGATGGAGAGAAAATGGTATCTTCTTGTTTTAAATTGTATTTCTCTGATGGTTGTATAGTCAAACATTTCTTCCTATCTTCATGTGCTACCTAAATGTCTTCTGAAAACTGCTTTTCACCTCCTTTGCCCATTCTTCTGTTTGTCTTTTTCTGATTTGTTATTCTCTCATATTCCGGTACTACATTTTTGTTATGTTACAAATATTTCTTCCCAATTTCTTCCTTATATGTAAAATTTGTTTACAGAGACTCTTGCATCCAGAAGTTTTTGTTTGTTTTTTTAAGATTTTATTTTTCCTTCTTCTCCCCAAAGCGCCCCCAGTACATAGCTGTATATTTTTAGTTGTGGGTCCTTCTAGTTGGTGCATGTGGGACGCCGCCTCAGTTGGTGCCATGTCCGCGCCCAGGACCGGAACCAGCAAAACCCTGGGCCGCCGAAGCAGAGTGCACGAACTTAACCACTCGGCCATGGGGCCAGCCCCGCATTGAGAAGTTTTAAATTGTAATGTGGTCAATTCTATCTAAATTCCATTTATGAATTTTTCTCTTTGTGTCTCAAGAAGGACATTCATATCCCAAGTTCTTATCACTGATTTTAATAAGAATGCTTAATTTTTGTCGTCAAATGTTTACATTTTCACAGGTAAGCTTTATCTAAAACAGTTATGTTTTTCTTCCTTTAGTCTGTTAATTTGACCTGTTTCCTTATCTGGAAACATCTTTGCATTCCAAGAGATAAATTCTACTTGGTATTCTTTTACTATACTGCTTGATTCAATTCACTCAACTTGCTAACATTTTATTTGAACTTCGCATCTTTGTTCTTAAGTGAAATGGGCTTTCGTTTTCTTTTGAGTTGTCCTTGATTAGTTTTCTTAAAAACCTGTAGTCTTGCAAAGTAAGTTAGGTAAAAGTATTTAGTGATGGGCTGGCCTGGTCGCACAGCGGTTAAGTGAGCATGTTCCGCTTCGGCAGCCCGGGGTTCGCCGGTTCGGATCCCGGGTGCCGGGACATGGCACCGCTTGGCAAGCCATGCTGTGGCAGGCGTCCCACATATAAAGTAGAGGAAGATGGCCACGGATGTTAGCTCATGGCCAGTCTTCCTCAGCAAAAAGAGGAGGATTGGCAGCAGTTAGCTCAGGGCTAATCTTCCTAAAAAAAAACCAAAAAAAAAGTATCTGGTGAGGATGTACCAAATCTAAAACACGTAGGCAAATCGTCCTTCCTAATTCTCCTTCGTTCCTGGTTTGTGACTTTATTCTGAAGCTGGAATCAGTGCAGGACCCCTTACAACCGTTCTCTGCCCCCCAAACACACAAGTATTCCAAAGTGCCCTTTTTCAATTCTCAATGTGGGGATAATTCCCAGGATTTTGATCCTACCACAAGGCCTACAAGTGCTGACGGTCATTGAAAGAGCATGTTAGAGATGGTTTAACTCAAAGAAATTAGGAGACAGTTGTTGACACAAATAATCCATAACCAACCTATAAATCAAAATTGGGGTGAGTTTATTCTGAGCCAGAGTAAGGATTACAGCCCAGGAAGGCCTGAGAAGGTGTTCCAGAGAAGGGTGGGTTTCAGTACAATCTTCTATCTTTTTAGAACAAAGAGCATACATTAAACACACCCAGGGTACATTTTCAAAGAGGTATTCAGTTGCAAATTAGCAGGTCAACATGACCATGACCATCACCATGATGCCAGGAAAGGGACTAATCCTGGCGTTAGCAGTAGGGCACAAGAGGGGACGAACGCATTCTTTGTATCTTAAGAGAGTGCATTCCTTACTTTAATGGATAAGCAGATGTATAATGTATGTCTGACAGGCCATAAGTTAGGCTTTCTAGTCTAAGCCGAACCAGTTTTGAACTCAAATAGTTACCCCATATACCTCAATATGTAAAAATCTCCTGTCACCGTATTAGGGCTGCAAATCAATGGCCGGGGACCACTTCCCTAACCTCTGTGAGCCTCGATTTCCTTAAATCTAAGACGAAACTATTAATAACGTGGAAGTCACCAAGTTTGCTTTTAGAAGTCCATGATAAAAGGTACGAAAAACCACCCAGGACGACGCCTGGCACAAAGCAGGCATCCCCACGCCTCAGCTGTGACCATCACTACTGTCACTAGCTGCTCCCACGGCAGCTTCAGACGCGGTGGGCAGCGAGGGACGGCCCGGGGACAAGCGGCGGACCCCGGAGTCCCACCGCCGGCTTCCGGCCTCCGCCCGCCTCGCGTGGAAACGCCTGTGCCTTTCGGTGAAACGGCGAGAGGGCTGAGAGAGACCCCATCGATCGGGTGACGTTAACGGTTAACGGATGTGAGCGCCTGGGACCCACCGGGACTCGGGAGCCCTCAATGATGGCTGTTCTTACGAACGCTGTTGGCTTTTTACGGTCACCCCCACCCGCAGGGAAGCATCAGCCGTGTGACCACCCGCCAGTCCCCCGATATTTCAGGGTCCTGCGCCTCCTGCTCGGCCAACCTGGGGCGAACGCCGGGCTCCCCGCGCTGACCGGGTCAAGCAGACACACGTAGCACACTCCCGCACCAGCCGAGAACAAAATGTCCGCCGTGCGCGCAGGAGCAGTACACGGGGGCCAGGCTCGAGACCCCGCCTCCAGGCTCTCGCACCGCCTACCCCCTCCCAGGGTTCGCGGCTCGGGATTGGCCCAGAGGCGGCGCGGGCTCTGATTGGTCGAGGCGGGGTCACGAGGGCGTTGTCGCCTTCTGGGGTTTGTTCCGCCGGGGTCTCAGGTCTTGGGCTGTACCCGGGAGGGCGCTCCCTGCCTGTGGGCGCCCAGGGGCCGCTGCGGGCTCCTCTGGGGCGTCCAGCCGGGGCCTGCCGCGCGCGGTGGTCCGCAGGCTCTGGGTGGGCGGGGCCCCGCGCTCACCCCAGCCTTAAAGGAGAACCTATCAGAGACGAGACTGCGGGTTAACCTGGGATGTGGTGTCCTAGGTTCCGGCTTGAGACTCCTTATTTGTGTTGTAAATGCTGATGGAGATGGAAGCTGCTCCACTTAAGCGCTGAGTTCTCAGTCTGGATAGGTCAAGACACTTGAGTTGTAGCTCCTGATTTGGTTCCCGTGTGGGGGATTTATTTTGTCCCTGTGCTTCCATTTGAGCAGTCAGTAGTGGAGCTGATTTTTTAAAACATCACAGTTATTTGAAAACGCGTGGTGAAGGGAGCAGAATGAGAGGAAAAGGGAGGAATTCCTGGACGCTTGCCTTTTTTACCTTAAGGAATTTCCATTTCTAGATCGTGGCTAAAGAGAAGGTATGGGAGCCCTGACCTACCAGCACACGCTAAAAATTATCTTCTTTTTCTATCTATTTTGATATTCGCTGGTGTGAGCAAAAGACTCCAGGTGAAAATAAAAACACGAGTTTTTTACAGATGGAAACTTACTACTGCAAATCCTGGAGGCAAAGTGTGCACGACATGGAATGTCGAAGGCCCTGTGATGTGCCTATTGATCTTGTACATTTTAAGCGGGAAAACAAATCAAGGTGCACTGAAGAAAATGAGTCTTTCCTCAAAGGAGATAGAAGATGGGGAAGATGAGATGTCAGAAGATAAGGACAATAGCAGTAGAGATGAGGTAATTATATGTACAGCGTGGAGCAGAATAATTTATTAATGTCAACCATGAAAACCCAGCGTAAAGCAGTTAAACTGCATTGCTTAATCTCAAAAGTGGTATTGTGAACATTTTCCAAGTGGACTAGTTTCACAAGCCTGCCCTAAACTTGATACTAAAATCTGACAAGGTCCTTTTGAGAAAAGGAGATTACAGACCACTCTCGTGAGCATTGATGCGAAAATTCCAAACAAAATATCACCAAATTGAATATCAGTGTTCTGTAAAAAGAATAATACATCGTGGCTAAGTGAGGTTTATTTTTGGCAAGGCAAAGATGTTTTATGTTTGAAAAGTGATACTGGTTGTCTGGAAATACTGGTTTGAAAAGAAATCTCTTGATTCTTAAAATTGCTTCCTTAAAACCCATTAGTTTGTGTGCCTGCCAAACATAGGTTTCCATGTTTCTTCTTTCAACAAATATTTAGGTCCCTCCTATGTTCTGCTTTTGGCTGGGAGCCTCTGCATTGGTGTTTGAATATAGATAGGTTTAAGTTGAGTCTTAAAAAGAATTGAGGTGAATAAGTGGGTACACAGCTGATGAATACTGAATGTTTCCTGTGTGTAGCCACTGTGCCTAGTAGGGTTTTATGCATTATCTCATTGGATCCTCACAGCCACCATGTCGCTAGGCACCACTTTGTAGACAGGAAAACAAATTTGACCATTAACTAACATGCTCATGGTTTCACAGTTAATAAGTGACGCCTGGAATTATACGTGGTTCTGCCGAATCTGAAGCTCTGACTTTTCCCCAGTTCGTTTCTCGATCTTCCCTCCAGGAACTCGTTTTGGGAGGCAGACAGCCTGTATTTGCCTACTTTGAGCAGCTAGTTGTATAGTAGAAACTTTCCTCAACCCTGTTCAATCTAGTCATTGTATCAATGGAAAGTAAAAGTGGGGAATCCTAAAAATATGCATACATAGCTTTTGATTTTAATTTAAAACGTGTTGAATATGTATTTATTTGCCATTCTTTTGATGTGGGACTAAGGCTTTGTCTTTGGGTTCATTGTTCGAGTAGCTTATGTTCTCTATATAAAGTGCCCCCATGGTGCATCTTCTGCTTTTTACAGTTTGTTTCTTTAAAGCAAAACAAAACTTCAAAAAACCGAGTAAAGCAATTTGAATACAGACTCCTACATTTTTAGAATGTTTTCCATTCTTTCGTGGTTGCTCACCCACACCTAATTTGACTGACGTTTTTTAAGCTTTATTAAGTATGTCCAAAGCATTCAACTTTGTTTGCATAGATTCAGTAACTTACTTTTTGCATGAATTTGATTGGTTTATGTGATGTTTATTATGTAATTGAAACTGCAAATACAAGGGTCATATACAGGTTTGCGAACAAACACTACTAGTGATTATTAAGGATACAGTTGAACTCATGGAACAGAAACGCCCAGATGCCCTAGGAGTGCCACACAGCAGCCCACTAGCCACATATGCTTGACGTTTCGTGGGCATCAAGTTAGTAAGTCCTATTTGAAATTGAGCTCGTCATTTAATCCAGCCACAGACATAGTTTAGTACAACATGGTTAAGTAGGCATAGTTAAGAGAGCATCTACTGAGCTATAATAGTCACAATACACTGCATAAGCTGTCTATACTCGTCAGAGCCAGAACATTCTTGGTGAGTGCAGCTTTTGTTTTGGAACCCAGACTGCGTTAGCTTGGAGGAAAATACGAATAGTCACATTATATTTTCCTTAGGCTGATAGGCATGTGATATGATTCTAGACTGTTCACGCTGGTAACTCTCAGCCATTCCTCTTTAAAGATTTTATTTTTCCTTTTTCTCCCCAAAGCTCCCCGGTACATAGTTGTGTATATATATATATTTTTTAGTTGTGGGTCCTTCTAGTTGTGGCATGTGGGGCACCGCCTCAGCATGGCTTGATGAGCGGTGCCATGTCCACACCCTGGATCCAAACCAGCGAAACCCTGGGCCGCCAAAGCGGAGTGCGTGAACTTAACCACTCAGCCACGGGGCTGGCCCCAGCCATTCCTCTTTAAAATGTGGTTCCTACGATGGTTTATTCTGGTATATAGTGGTATTATCACAGTTAGATTAACTTTTAGGGTAACCACACCCTAATGTTGGCTTACTGAAATGATTTAATTCAAACTCTAGTCTCTCACATGCCTTGTTGCTCCCATGTCATTCCCATGCTAGATGAACTGGTCCCTCATCCGTTTGCCTATAAATTTTGTTCACAATCAGTAACACTAATCACATCATATTATCGTTACTTATGTCTTCCTGTGATGTGAGTTGAGATATATATATATATATATATATATATATATATATATATATACACACACCAGTTGTGTTTATTTGCTAGGGTTGGCATAATAAAATATCACTCTGAGTGGCTGAAACAACAGAAATTTATTTTCTCCTAATTCTGGAGGCTAGAAGACAAAGATCAAATTGTTGGCAGGTCTGGATTCTTCTGAGGCCTTTCTCCCTGGCTTGATGATGTCTGCCTTCCTGCTGTGTCTTCCCACGGTCATTCATCATTTCTTCATTTTGTCCTTTTGTATGTGGTGAGACTTCATTCAATGTTCTGCTAAAATTGTCATCTTCAGTCGTTTAGTTTTATAATACCATGCCCAGTTATTAGTAGCTATAGGATGGTTCTAATTAGGAAGCATGTGGTCCAACCATTGGGCTTGGCTCTCATTCCTGTGTCTGCCCCAGTTGCCTGTCTCCTTTGGTGTGTTACTTGTATGCTGAGAGTTGGGACACTAAAGGCATGCAGAGCCACCTAAATAGTAGTTGACTTGGTGTATTTTCCTAGGGCGGTGGCTTTTATACTTTTATTTTTATTTATTTATTTATTTATTTTTCTGCTTTATCTTCCCAAACCCCCCGTACATAGTTGTATATCTTAGTTGCTGGTCCTTCTAGTTGTGGGATGTGGGATGCCACCTCAACGTGGCCTGACGAGGGGTGCCATGTCCACACCCAGGATCTGAACCCTGGGCCGCCACAGTGGAGCACGTGAACTTAACCACTCGGCCACGGAGCCAGCCCCCTATTTTTTTATTTATTTATTTTTTGTGAGGAAGATTGTTGCTGAGCTGACATCTATGCCCATCTTCCTCTATTTTATGTGGGATGCTGCCACAACATGGCTTGATGAGTGGTGCTAGGTCCTCGTTTGGGATCTGAACCTGCGAACCCCGGGCAGCTGAAGTGGAGTGTATGAACTTAACCACTATGCCACCGGGCCGGCCCCTTCCCTGTAAAGTTTGTGATTTGATAATTCCAGTGAAATCCAAGAATTTTATTTTTTTTCTTTTTTGTTTAGACAAGCATGCCAGATAATTCTGGCGCTGGGACCTCTTTTACTCTAAAGTGAGGAATTTGTTCTAGAGAACTCAACATAGATGTTGACATATGTACCTGACCAAATCTTGCACTTGCTGACTGTACAATGTGATTGTAACCTCATGGGCATAGGGGAGATGTCATTTCATTGTTGCCCGTTCTCCTCCAGGTTGTCATCCCTCAGAAGAACGGTAGGAAGGTTACCACTGCTCCAGGAAATAAAGTAGGGGGAAAAAGTCACTGGGTCCCATGTTTACTGAGGAATTAATATCACACTGCAGGAAGGGAGCCACATGGACCAAGCTGCCAAAAGATAGGAGAAGTGCCAAGCTAGACAACCGTGAAAAGAGAACTGAGATCTCTGAGGAGGATGAAGGTAAGACCAGTGGGTTGGACCAGTGAAGGTAAAGAATCCTCTCCTGGGGGTGTTCCTGGCTAGCGGCTGTAAGATCTCAAAGGCCAGCGCTGCATGCCATTCCACATGGCTCTTGGAGGGGTTTTAGAAAAGTGCCGCCCTTCTGAAAGTTGCCTTGGCAATCCCTGGCTGATTCTTCGGGCCTGGCTCCATTGGGTGAAGAGGCTCAGTGGACATTGGACCTTTGCTGTGCACATGGTGAGAATCAGAGTTTTCTCCTTGAATGTTACACATTGTTTCTATCTTTGTGCTTATGAGCCAAGCAGGTTCATTTCTCTCAAACTTTCATTCTCAGTGATTTTTTTTTTGTCTTGGTGGAATCTGTATAACATTTTAAATGATATTGCTTCCAAAGCAGTAATTCTTACTATTTTTATTAAAATACAATAGCAGTACATTTTAAATCATTTCAAAATAAAGTTAAAATAGCAGTGAAATTTTTTCTTAGATTTGTGTACATAGTCAGGTTTGTGAGCAGTTTATCTGAAAGAACGATTTGTCGTTCTTATTCTTAACAAGTCTGTGTGGTAGGACTTGATTAGGTGGATTTTCATTTAGATTCTGAAAAAGAAGCCTTGTATTCTACGTGGGCCAAAGGGAGAAGAGCCCTTCCTGTAGGGGTGGAGGAAGATGAGCAGGACGATGACGATGACGATGATGAGGACAAAGGCTGTGAGGAAGAGGAGGAGGAAGGTCAGAACGACCTAAATCAGGTCGGGCAAGAGGTGGCCAGTGTCCAGGAGTGTGAGTTTTTCGGGAAGCCCTTGGGCAAGGACTGTTGCATTTCTTTGATGAACTTGAAGAACTTTCTAATTAATTTATAAATGCCTTTAAAAGTTCTCTGACCGGACCTCACCCATGTATCTCACGCAGAAGAGGCATAGTGTAGGTATGATATTTGTGGATAGAGTAGAAGCTTCCAGTTTACCCATTAGTGCTACAGACAGATCATTAAAAATAGAGTATTCTGGGGGCTGGCCCCATGGCCGAGTGGTTAAGTTCGCGCACTCCGCTGCAGGCGGCCCAGTGTTTCGTCAGTTCGAATCCTGGGCGCGGACATGGCACTGCTCGTTGAACCACACTGAGGCAGCGTCCCACGTGCCACAACTAGAAGGACCCACAACGGAGAATATACAACTATGTACTGGGGGGCTTTGGGGAGAAAAAGGAAAAAATAAAATCTTTAAAAAAAAAAAATAGAGGATTCTGGCTTTTTCCCACAGAACCTATGAAAAAAAAACACCTGATAAATGGAAGATGGAAATGGCCAAGCAGAAGGCTCCCCCTGACACCACAAAACAGAAATTAGAAGGTAACTTCTTTGCTATGTTTTAAGGCGTAAGAGACACGCGGAGAATTTCAGATTGGCAGAAATTAAATCTCTCTTCACCCAAATGATGAACAAGGGGATATTTATTGCAGCTTGGGGTTATGGTATTCCAGAGTCTTTCATGGAATTTTCTTTTAGCATCATTCTTTCTGAACTATTTACATATATATTTTTTTTTCTTTTTTTTTTTACCTTTTTGTATGGCAGCTAAACCACCTGTAACTTTCAGACTGTTTGTGGGAAACCTGAATTTCAACAAAATGGCTACTGAGCTAAAAACTGGTCTCAGTGAATTTTTTGCTAAAAATGATCTCGCAGTTGTTGGTGTCAGAGTTGGCTTCTCCAGGTAAATGCCGATAAATTAAGAATGTTATTATGAGTTTATCAGCCCAGTGGTTGTTAGTCCTGGAGGATGTAGGAGTTCCGGTGGCTTCCTGTTTGATTGTGGGGTACTAGCCTGCTGTCTCGTCAGATCCTTTGGTACCTGCTCTTCACCTTTTGGAGGGATTTTAACTGTCTCATGCAGTTCAGAATCAGTATTTAAAATCCTTCAGTGGCTCAGGTTTAGTAAATCCATTATATTAAACTTTGCTACCCCATTTTTCCAACCAAATTAAAATAATCCCAAGATCTTCTAAGTCTTTACAGAAACCAATTTTCATGATTTTCCAACTGTGAGCAACATTATTTGCCTAGAATCATTTTAAACTAAGTCACAGATTTAATCACAAAACCCCTAGCTTTGGAGGCAAATATAGTTCTGTGTGAGTTCTGCTTTTTTGCTGATTTGAATTTCATCCTTTCTTTCTTCTTTCACATCAGAAGCATATGTCTTGGGTGTGAGCACGTCTATTTTTATAGTACTCAGAATTTCTTATGTAAAAACAAAAAGATAATCGTAAACATTCATTGATCACTCACCGTTCCAGGCATTGTTCTTAGTTCCATGTTTATATTAACTCATTGAATCCATAAGACAATCTTCGGTGGTAACTATTGTCATCATCCTCATTTTACAAAGGAGGAAACTGAGGCACAGAGAAGTTAAGTAGCTTGCCCAGTATCACACAGTTAGAAAGTGAAAAAAAAGAAAGGAAATGGCAGACCCAGGATTTGGGCCCAGCACTCTGGCTCCAGAGCCTATGCCACAACTTTTGTTACCTTCCTCTTCTTAAAGTTTTTGTTAACTATATTTTGAAATATTGTTGCCTTTGCAGTAAATAAGGATTCCTTTTGCATTAAAAAGAATTCTTACAGTAATAGCCCTTGGGTTTGCTAACACATTCCGTAGTCTATACATTTTGTTCCAATTCACAAATGCAGATGGCTGTTTCTCTCTCTCTTTTTTTTTTTGAGGAAGATTAACCCTGAGCTAACTGCTGCCAATCCTCCTCTTTTTGCTGAGGAAGACTGGCCCTGAGTTAACATCCGTGCCCATCTTCCTCCATTTTATATGTGGGACGCCTACCACAGCATGGCTTGCCAAGCTATGCCATGTCCACACCCGGGATCCGAACCGGCGAACCCCGGGCCGCCAAAGTGGAACGTGAGCACTTAACCACTGTGCCACCGGGCTGGCCCCAGATGGCTGTTTCTTAAAACAAAAATTCAGAAACTTGTAGCTTCGTTTTCTGTAGCTTTTGGTTAAATTTTGTCAGTTGTTAAGCAGAAAAAAATGAAGACTTCAACAGGTGAATTTGCACTGATTCTCAGTCCTTGCTCTAGAACAGAGTTTCTTCACTTCAGCACTATTGACATTTTGGGCTGGATAATTCTTTGTTGTGGGGAGCTATACAGTTCATTGTAGGCCGTTTAGCACTCTCCCTGGGTTCTACCCACTGGATACTCCCCACGCACTGGACACTCCCCAGGTGTGACAGCCAAAAATGTCTCCAGACATCAAACTCCCCCCCAGGCCTGGACCCCTGCTCTCTGTTACTTCCTGGCACTGGTATTGGCGGTTGGTGGAGCCTTGATTTTGATGTAAATTTGGCAGGTGCCTTTGACTCATTGCTAATTTCCACTTACATCCAGTCTGATTAGCCAGCCAGCAGGCATGTGCCTCTTGATCGTACCAGTCCTTTTTCTCCTTTCTTCTACATCTGTAGATTTGGTTATGTGAATTTTAAATCCGCTGACGACCAGGAAAAAGCCTTGGAACTTAGAGATACAAAGGTCCTTGGGTATGAAATGAAATTGAAGAAACCAAAGGGAAAGGAAAGAAAGAAAGGTATGCAAACAAGGTAATTTGTTCGTAGATACCTCTGTATCTAGAAGGCTGTGGGTCAGGCGGGAATTCGTATCATATTGTTTTTTATCCAAAAGGGCAGATACTCCTCACTGACCAACAGGTCACCTGCTTCTACAGCACAGACTTTATCTGCCTGTCCTTCTCCGTCCCAGGGTTCTCTCCAGGACTCATTCCCTGGCTACTTGTGTCCCATCCATGGAGTCTCAGCTTACAGGTCACTTCCTCGGATCAGGAGAATCTTCCTTTACCCCCAGACTGGGGTAAGTCTTCTCTACGACGTGTTCTCATTTCCCCTTTTACTTTTCCTTCCTGGCACTTCCGCAGTTTGTAATTAGGTGACTGTTTACTCTCCTTTTCCCCCAACAACACCACCTTCCTGAGAGCAGGGGCCAGGTCTCTGTTTTCACAGCCAGCGTGTAGCACAGGCCCTCGCCCAGAGTATGTGTTCAAATATATGCTAAATGAAGGAATACGTATTGCTGTTTCAGTCTCCAGCTCTTTGAGAAGTATTTTTTCTCCCTTAGAAAACTTTGGATCCTTATGAGATCTAAACTCAGACTAACAATATTCTTTTGTGTTTATGCAGATCGAGATGCCAGAACGCTTCTGATCAAGAACCTGCCTGACAAAGTCACTCAGCATGAATTAAAAGAAGCGTTTGAGGATGCTTTTCAAATCAGATTGGTGAGCAAGGATGGCATGAGGGAAAGGTATGTTTTGTACCTTGTACTGAAAAAAAATACACGTCTACTGGATTTAAACATAACAGAATTCCATTACATTCTCCCAAATTACTTACACCTGGTTTTAGAGAAGGAAAGAGTGGTTAGTCAACCTTTCTACTAACAGGCATAAGAGCTGAAGGTGGCATCATAAATGGACAGCCAAAAGCTTCTAGAAAACCTGGTGTCATAGAGAAATGAAGATTTGTTCTGCAACTATAAGATTGAAGGTTGGAAGAATTCGGTCATAGGTTATCTTCATTCCTCTCAAGGGCTGACTGCCTCCAGTAAAATAACACACTTGGCAGCTTGCCCGGACAGGTACCAAAACAGGACATTGAATTCGTCTGTTAGAATTATGTTGTGACCAACTAATGACCATCACTGTGTCTCTGGGCTCTGGTAGCATAAAAGGATGAATATGGTGACATTAGGGTGGACTGGAATGTATTTTGAAGGGATTCTCACTGAGGTAAAAATTGAATATCGGGTAACAGATATATTTGAGCTAAATTTGTTGGTGTTGGTAAACTCTAAAATAATCCATACCAGTATATTCTTTTTTTTTTTTTTTTTTTTTTTTTTAGCTTAAGTATTTTATTTGTTTGCAACTAAGCTTGTTAACACTATATAATGAAAATGTACAAAGAATAATGTTGCAGTTTTTGGTTAGATTTAAGTCAAAGACATTCATTAATAAGGAATCTTCGAATGTGAATATTCCAGAAATTTCTCTAAGCCATCTGATCAGAACAACTGTCTCTGAATATTACCTTACTTTGGAAGGTATTGGCATACATTTGAATTAAACTCAGAATTTTCAAAATAAGCCCTAATTTAAAAAAACTATTCTATACTCAAACTAAAACAATTTTAATAGAACTTTCCTTTCCAGAAACAATAATAAAGGAAACAAGGCATTTTGTAAAATGTGGTCCTGAACAAGTCACAGTAAAAAATAAATGTATACTCAACTTCCACCTCCTCAAAACAGAGGCTACTTTCTGTTCCTCAGCCTTGGAAACAAGGTAAAGAACAGTCTGTAAGCAACTTCGGGCAGGGGGCTGCCAAAACAAAGCTCGAGCAGTTGCACATGGACACCTCTTAGAATTCGGGGGAACCTGACCAAAGGATCCAAATTCTCTTTTGAATAACTGATGCGAGAGTGAAGTGGCTCCTCCCAAACAGCAGTGCCGCCGGGGCCTGGCCCAGCCCGGTGCTCACCTGTGTAACGCTCCCAAGCAAACCTTGATCCTCCTGCTCCGGCGGAGACTTTTTCTTTTTAGAGGTCAGTGTCCAGGGAGCTCTTTGTGTGAATGAGGTGAGCACAGACTCCATGTGGGTATTTTAAGGCTTGGAGTCAAAGTATTTTTTAACACGGCTAGGCAGAGTCCATGTGTCAAATGGCCTGTCTCCAGTTTGTTCTAATTTGTCACCACACATTTGTTGACCTAGGACCACAGACCTTTGCTATGTTATCATAATCACATCTAATGTCCATCCTAACTTATGATTCATATTCTGTGCCTGGAAACAGTCCCTGTATTTAACAATAATACCTACACATAAAACAATCCACTGTTACAACTTATATGGTCACAAAACATTAATGATCTTCTTTAGACCAAGCAAATGTTTTTAACCATAATTGTCGTGCATCAAATTCACAGCCAGAATCCCCAAGATCAAAAAAATTTGCACAATACAAATAATAACTTAAAATACACATACACACATATACACACACTCTCACACACACTTCTTACAGAACTGTGCTTGGGGAAACTCCATTTGTTGAGTGCCACTGAGGGCATATTTTGCTAAACTTCTGCTCCAGGTATTTTTGTTTGGAAAATCTATCACAGTAGGGCACAGCTGTTTATTGGATGAGCAGAAAAGAAAGATATGCTTGTGGCAACGAGAAAGTTTTAAGGTCTTTCAAGTTGTATAAAATGGACCTGCAGAAACGTTTAAGTGTTCTCAGGATGCAAAGTTGGAGCTGAAATGTGATATCAAACCAGTTGCAAAAAGTGTACAGCAGCCATCTCTTGAGGTCAAACCTGGTACCCAGATATGCAAGAAAGCTTCAGGACACGTAGCTTGTTGGCCTTGTCCCATATCGTCGCATAATCTGATCATGTGTGAATTTCACAAAAGATTCATATTGTTCTGCTAGTTTGGTATTGAGGATTTGCTCATACTCCTCCCGAATTTTATCTTCATAGTCTTTTAAGAGACGCTCACATATTATTCCAACTTGTCGGAGGGTAAAGGTGGGCTGGTCCTTCTTCATCCAGGAGGAACCTGGCGAACTAGGTGCTGCGAGTGCTGCGGAGTGAGGCTGACTTTCCGAAGTACAAGCTTCACTCTGATTAAGAACAACTTCTAAATGTCTCCACCTCTGATAACGACTATATTCTTGTTTTATGTTCTGAAAAATTTGCTCCGGAGTTGGAAGGCGCCGCTCGCTGCCGGGCGGGGCGGGCTGCTGCAGGGCCGGCGGCGGGGTCTGCGTCTGGAGCAGCGGCGGCGGCGGCTCGGCGTCGGGGGGCCTGAGGCCCGGAGTGGGGCCGGGCAGGGGGGCGCAGCGCCGCCGCTTCGGGGACCCGGGGTTCAGCAGCGCCGCCTCGAACTCCATGGGCCGCTTCAACGTCGCCCCGCACGCCATGCCGCCGAGGGGCCAGGGACCAGGAGCGGACGCGGCTGGAACGGCGGCCCGACCTCCGGCTCCTCAGCCGAGCTCCCGAGCCAAGCCCATACCAGTATATTCTGATGAATATAATCTCTAGAAAAGAGTCCTGCAGATTTAGAAAACAAGTCTGAGAGGATAAATCCCAAATCGTTAGCAGTGTTTACTGTGGGGAGAGATGGGGGAGCTCCGCCATGCTTGCAGTCAGCAACACTGGAAAACGACAAAACAAAAATTCCTGCCAAAGCTATATGATTTCTCAAACTTCACTCACTTGTTTTAATTAGACACACTTAACTCTTTAGAATCATCCCTTTAATGAAGAATTATTGCCAAGGGGAAATAGGAGAAGCCAAAGAATCCATGACCATATGAAATGGAGCATAGTACCTATGTCAGAAATGCACGCAGTACATTATCTTCGAGAATATTCTTACTCAGCTTCTTACTCCGTGTCATTCACCAAAGTTAATTACAGGTTCATGAATGATTACATGGAAACTATGAAACCATGAAGTACTAGGGGAAGACATGGAGAATGTTTTTGTTTGTTTTTAATAATCTGCAAGAGGGGAGGGCCTTTCTAAGTGTGACACGAACCCCAAAGGAAAAAGTAGATAAATTTGACTGCATAAATATACAATATTTCTACATGGGAAAAAAATATCTCCATTGGGCTGGCCGGTGGCCAAGTGGTTAAGTTTGCACGCTCTGCTTCGGTGGCCCAGGTTTCACTGGTTCGGATCCTGGGCGCAGACATGGCGCCACTCATCAGGCCATGCTGAGGTGGCATCCCACATGCCACAGCTAGAAGGACCCACAACTAAAATATACAACTATGTACTGGGGGGGTTGGGGGAGAAAAAGCAGGAAAAAAAGAAACATTGGCAACGGTAGTTGAGGTGCCAGTCTTAAAAAAAAAATCCCCATAAACAAAGTCAAAAGACAAGTGGCAAACCAGGAAAAAGTATTTGTAATTCGTATCAAGACCAAGGGCTAATTTTGCTGATGTATGAAGTGTGCCTGACAATCAGTAAGAAAAAGACCAATAACCCAGTAAAAATATAGGCAGATTACAGATAGGTCTCAGAAAAGAAATTTTCTTTTAAAGAAAGGAGAGGATGGTCACCCTCACTTATAATAAAAGAGTTATAAATTAAAACTACACCGAGATGTAACTTTTTACCTCTCAGATGTTCACAGATCAAGAAATTTATTGCCATGGTATTGGAGAGGGTGTGGAGAAACTGGCATGCTTGTATTTTGTTGGTAGAGGTGAAACTGGTGAAGTCAATACGAAGATTAGTTACCTAGTAGTATCTGTGAGAGTTCTAATTGTATATACCATTTTATCCTGCAGTTCCACTCCTAAGACTTTATCCTGCAGACAGGTGTGAAATAATGTATTACCAAGTTGTTTGATGCAGAATTAAAATTGACCTGAATATCTATCAATAGGAAACTGGTTAAAATCTTCCAGTAGATCCATAAGATATTATACTATGCAGTTGTAAAAAGAAATGAAACAGCATTTTGTGTACTGATGGGAAATAATCTGTAGTATACATTATTAAGGGAAAAAGGCAAAGTATAGAACAGTGTATATAGTATTCTACTTTTTATGTAAAAATATAATGGAGGACACACCATATAAAAAAAATGAACTCAAAATGAATCAAAGACCCAAACATAAGGGCTAAAACATAAAACTTAGAAGAAAACATAGGAGTAAATCTTTGTGATCTTGGGTTAGGGTGTTGCACAGCGATGAAAGAGAAGATGGAGAAGTTGGACTTCATCAAAATTAAAGATGTTTCTACCCTAAAGGACGCTATCAAAAAAGTTAACGGAAACTACAGACTGGGAGAAAATATTGCAAATCATATATTTGATAAGGGACTTGTATTAAAAATACATAAAGAACTCTTAACAACTCAATAATAAAAAGTCAACACAATTAAAAAACGGGTAAAGGGGGCTGGCCCTGTAGCTGAGTGGTTAAGTTTGCGCGCTCTGCTGCAGGCGGCCCAGTGTTTTACTGGTTCGAATCCTGGGCGTGGACATGGCACTGCTCATCAAACCACGCTGAGTCAGCGTCCCACATGCCACAACTAGAAGGACCCACAACGAAGAATATACAACTATGTACTGGGGGGCTTTGGGGAGAAAAAGGAAAAAAAAAATCTTTAAAAAACGGGTAAAGGATTTTAATGGACCATTTTCCAAACAAGGTATACTAATGGTCAATAAACACATGAAAAGATTCTCAACATTAGTCATTAGGGAAATGCAAATCAAAAGCATGATGTGAAGGGTAGAAATTGGGCAAAAGGAAGACTTCACTGTATCCTTTTCTACCTTTTGCATTTTGAATCATGTATGTGTATTACTAATTCAAAAGACAGATAAATAAAAGTACTAAGTGTCGACTGTTTTCCTTCTCTCCCCCACCCTCTCCCCACAATTGCAGGATCGCCTATATTGATTTCTACTCACAAGTGGGCTGCAGAGAGAGCCTTGGCAAAGAAGCAAGGAAGAGAGATCGGTGGGCTTGCCATAGTTCTGGACCGTGCTGGAGAGAAAAGCCAAGGCCAAGAAGATAGACAGTACAGCCCCTGGAGAGGTGAGGGATGCTAGCATCCTGTGGATGGAGACTCGCCAGGGTTGGCAGTGGCATTCCCTGGGGACGGGCTAGGATGAGGTTGGGGGCAGTTGGCACTTTTAAATACAACTTCTACCTGGATCAAAAATGTGTTATCTGCATACTTATATCAGATTAATGAGTATTGTCCTAGTTAACTGTAACCTTGATGTCTGTAAAAGAAATGGCACTTTGAGATACATCGGTTTAGTTCCCCGTTTTGGGTACCCTCTAGGATTCTGTTTGAACAACCTATTAAACCTGTGGTTTCAGGATTAGATATCTAATTTGTTATCGAGTAGAGTTTTTGTCGGGTTTAAACCAGAGACCTCAAACCAGTGTCCCTAATCTGATGGGTAGATGTGGTGGCTTGTATAGTATTTACAGAAAAAAACTATAGCGGCCCGCCCAGTGGCGCAGCAGTTAAGGTCACATGTTCTACTTCAGTGGCCCCGGGTTCACTGGTTCGGATCCCGGGTGCAGGCCTGTGCACCGTTTGTCAAGCCATGCTGTGGCAGGCGTCCCACATATTAAAAAAGACAGGGGGGCCAACCTGGTGGCGCAGCAGTTAAGTTCACACTTTCCACTTGGGCAGCCCGAGGTTCGCCAGGTTGGATGCTGGGTGCGGACCTGCGCACTGCCTGTCAAGCCATGCTGTGGCAGGTGTCCCACATATAAAGTAGAGGAAGATGGGCATGGATGTTAGCTCAGGGCCAGTCTTCCTCAGCAGAAAGAGGAGGATTGGCAGCAGACGTTAGTTCAGGGCTGATCTTCCTCAAAAAAAAAAAAAAGAAAAATGAAAAAAAGATATATATATATAAATTAAAAAGTAGAGGAAGATCAGCATGGATGTTAACTCAGGGCCAGTCTTCCTCAGCAAAAAAAGAGGAGGATTGGCAGCAGATGTTAGCTCAGGGCTAATCTTCCTCCCCCCCCCCAAAAAAAATCACCTGGAAAGAAACTATAGAATTTCGTATGAATATTTTTAAAAATCAAGAAATTTCACATAAAAATGTGGATCTCCAGCCTTTTTGGCTACATCAGAGAATCTGGCGGCCCTGGGGCTGCTTTCCTACATGTCTGTAGTCCCCTGGAGAGGTGACTAAGCTAAGGGCTGCTTCCCCTTAGCTGTGGCATTTGCTCTGTTTCCTACAACCTCTGCCATTCCTGAAATTCTCCCCAGCTCTGAAGGAGTGAACATCACATCTACCCATTGAAAAAAATAGAATTAATAATATGTTTTACTTACGAAGTAGTCCTTTTTTTCTGTTAGTAAAGATAACATTTTAATATTTCTTATGCATTTGTCTCTTTCAAAAGTGGGGAAACGAAAGCTAGAACAGGAAAGCCACACGTTTCAAGAAAAATGGGAGCGAGCTTATTTCTTTGTGGAGGTAAAGAATGTTCCTACATGTTTAATATGCAAACAAAGTCTGTCTGTGTCGAAAGAATATAACCTAAGAGGCCATTACGAAACAAACCATAGTAGCAACCATGATGTCTGTACACAAAAGATGCGTGATAAAAAGCTTAACGAACTGAAAAAAAGACTGAAATTTCAACATGATTTGCTTTTGAATGTGAATAAAGTAAGTGATGCTGCCATGAAATGTAGTTATGTATTAAGTGAGAAAATTGCCCGGGCATCCAAACCTTTGACAGATGGTGAGTTTATAAAGGAGTGTCTGTTGAGTGCAGCAGAAATTATGTACCCCGAACAGAGACCAGCATTTGCCAACATAAGACTAAGTGGGAACATTGTTGGGCAGCACGTTGACAATGTGACTGAGAACTTACAGGACAAGTTGCAAGAGAAAGCGAAATCATTGGTGGCTTTCTGTCTCGCAGCTCAGGAAAGCGCCGATATAAATCATGCCCCTCAGTTAGCTGTATTTATTCGTGGTGTTGATGAACCTTTCGATGTGACTGAAGAACTTTTGGACGTGGTACCCATGACAAGCACAACATCAGGAAATGAGTTATTTTTATGTGTTGAGAAAAGTCTTAAAAAATTTAATGTAGACTGGTCAAAATTAGTAAGTCTTAGCACAGATGGTAACTCTGAGATGGTTGGTGTTAAACAACGTGTTACAAGACTTCAATCGAAAGTGTCAGGGCTTTGCAAAGACGCAGAACTGAAGTCTGTGCACGGCCTCGTTCCCCAGGAATCATTTTGTGCTAACAAGTTAAAAATGGATCATGTCTTGGGCATAGTCATTTCCACCATAACCTGGATATGTTCCCATGGCTCGAACCCCAGAAAGTTCAGTGCTTTGTTTAATGAGTTGGATGCACAATACGGAAGCCTGCTCTGCTCCATGGAAGCTAAGTGGCTGAGTTGTGGTGTGGTGCTCAGGCAGGTTTTTGAACTGTTGGAAGAAATTGACTTTTTCATGTCTTCCAAAGGAAAATCCGTGCCTCAGCTTACTAGCAAAGATTGGTCAAAGACTTGGCCTTTTTGGTTGACATTATGACTTATCTAAACACATTGGATATTTCTCTGCAAGGGCGTTCACAAGTAGTTACACAAACGTATGATTCCATTCGCTCATTCCTAGCGGAATTGTGTCTTTGGGAAACTCATCTGGCAAGGAACAATCTGGCCCACTTCCCTACTCTGAAATTAGTTTCTGAAAATGAAAGTGATGGCCTGAACTATATTCCACAAATTAAAGAGTTGAAGACTGAATTCCAGAAAACCTCTGATTTCAAGCTTTTGAAAATGAACTAATATTGTTCAGTTCACCTTTCTCAATTAACATTAATAATGTGAACGAAGGGGCTGGCCCCGTGGCCGAGTGGTTAAGTTCGCGCGCTCCACTGCAGGCAGCCCAGTGTTTTGTTGGTTCGAATCCTGGGCACAGACATGGCACTGCTCATCAAACCATGCTGAGGCAGCGTCTCACATGCCACAACTAGAGGGACCCACAAAGAAGAATATACAACTATGTACCAGGGGGCTTTGGGGAGAAAGAGGAAAAAAATAAAATCTTTAAAAAAAAAAATAATGTGAATGAAGAGCAACAAATGGAAGTTATCGAATTGCAGTACAACACCATACTCAAAACTAAATATGATGATGTTGGAATCCCAGAATTCTACAAATATCTTGGGAACGGTTACCCAAAATATAAAAACCATTGTGCAAAGATTCTGTCCATGTTTGGAAGTACCTATATTTGTGAGCAGCTCTTTTTTGTTATGAAACTAAATAAAACTAAATATTGCTCCCAGTTAAAGGATTCAAAGATGAATTCTCTGCTGCATGTTGTCACACGGGATTCACGACCTGGTGTTGACTGACACCTTGGGGCGTGAGAAAGGATTGTCAGATTTCAAATCTGAGGAGTAATAAATTAGGAAACTTTGAATGTTTCTATTTCCAAATTATATTTTTTCAATGTCAAATTTAAAGTACAATCTCTGACATCATATGTTTGTACCTTAGAACATAAAAAATAAAGGTGGTTATCCCCTGGCAGTTTATTTTTCCCATGCTTTGCCTTGCTGGCCCTTAGAGTTATTCAAGTTTATAAACCTCTACCCTAAAAGCAGCCACGTTTTTCCTAAAGGCACTTGTGAACCAGGGATGGGAACCAGAGAGTCAGCTGGATCAATAGAATGTCCGGATGTTTAGTACAGCCCTGTCCCCAAGGATGACAGACCTGCCACAATGGTGGTGGGGCTCAGGCCAGAGTAGCCCCCTTGCCTGGTCCCCTGGACAGAGCTGGGGCGGCACAGCCAATACTGGCCTCTGGGCTGCTTTTTCGCTGCTTCCATTTCGGATGTACACATTTCTTTTGACATTTCAACATTGTTGGTCAGCTTATAGTTACTCGTGGCTGGCCCCAGAGCCATTCTGCCTCTTACAGGCAAGGATGGGCATTCCCTTGGCATCTGGGCCAAGCCAAGGGGATGCAGAATGGGGTGTCGACGTGTGTAAGAGCTTATGAGCATTTTTCCAGGGAGAAGGCCCATGGCCGCCATCAGAATCTTAAAGAAGTCTGTGACCCGAAGGGTGTTTTTGCTCTGTGACATTGGGACCTGACTGCTCACTGTCACAGAAACTGTAGTCTAAAAAATTAGTCTAATTATAAAAGTGATAGATACTTATTGTGGAACATTTGCAAACTATAAAGAAATAGAGGGAACAGCCTATAATGTCAACAACCAGAGATAACCCCCATAAATATGTAGGCATGTTTTCTTTCTGTCAGTTTTCTGTGCTCATTGTATACGACTGAGTGCATTTTGTATGGACCATTTTGTATTCTGCTCCCCTCTCCCTCACTCCCCCATGTAACAGTAAATCCTAAACGTCTGTCAGTCTTCCCAGCTCAAGGTGGAGGCCATTTGGTACCGTCAGGTGTGCACTGATGGGCCTCTGCATCACATGAGCCAGAGGGTTGATCCCAGATGTGGGATGCCTCTTGTGTTCTTCCAGGCTCTGCGAAGGCCAGAGAAACACCCTGCTGCCCAGGGAGGGAGGGGCACATGGTATCTGTTGATCCTCAGCACAGCCTCCCAGCAGGGGGCCTGAGACCACCAGTGAGTGTGAAGACACTCAGCCTTCGGAACAGCCTCTGCAGGGCACGGAGGGAGATGGGGCGAGCCTTAGGGCGGGGTCTGATTCTAAATTCATGGCTGCAGTCCTGAAAGGCTTCCATTCTCTTGTCCCCTTGTCCATGCGGTCTCCTCCCCACGAGTCAAATCAAATCTACCACTTAGTCTCACTCGGTACCATCACCTCCTAAATAAAAGCCATTTGAGAAGAACCTCTGCCCCACCTTCCTGCTGGCATTTACACACATGCCTGGGTCTGCACATCTCCAGCATCCTCCCTCCCTGTCCTCAGGGACCTTCTTCGTGCCCATGGCAGGTCCCACCCCCGTGCTCCAGTCTCCATCTCCTGCCTCTCCAGGGCTTTCCTCCATTCTCTATCTGTCTGTACCTTTGGGATTTTTATTTGTACTGGCCCCTTCACGAATATTTAAACATCCCCACATCTCTGACATACTCCTTTAATTTTGTAATTAGAACAAAAATTTTAAATCAGGACACATATTGACATGGTTCGAAATTCAACAGGTACAAATTGAAGGGTTTCCCACCCGTCCCCTAGCCACCCAGCTTCTTGTAACCAATATTATTGATTTCTTGCGTCCTTCCACTATTGTGCACAGACAAAGAATTATGTTTACATTCTTTTTCCCACCTAAATTTTACACAAAAAACTACCAGGTTATACACATTCTCCTGTACCTCTTTTTCCATTTAAAGTATCTTGGAGATCATTCCACATCAATAACAAAGAGATGCTTCGTTTGCTTTTGCAGCTGTAGTGTCGTATGGATGTACAAGGATTTATTTAACTGGTGTATTAGGTTAACTCTAGCTCCTGTAATGGGTGGACCCCAAATTCTTAGTAGCTCAATAGAGTAAACGTTTATTTCTCATTCGTGCCACAGTTCAGAGTGGGTGTTGTAGGTCAGATAGCCTTTCACGCCATCATTTAGGGACCCAGGCTCCCTCCATTTTGTGCCTCTATCCTGTTCTGGGTCATTGGAAAGCTCTTCATTTAGCAAACGGACAGAAAAGAACAAGGAGGATCCAATCTGGGGACTTTTCACCACTGCTTTTGGCTAGAACTTGGTCAAATGACCACACCTCTAGCCCCGGGGGGTGCTGGGAAACGGACTGCAGCTGTGCGTCCAGGAAGAGGGAGTGGGATGGATGAGCCTCTAGCCAGTCTCTGCTGCTGCTGGCCTTCTGTTGATGCTGCCATCTTGTCCAAAGAAGCCAAAACAGTCTCAGCCCACGTCTGCCTTCTCTCCTGCTCTCCTTCCTTTCACAGCCAAGTGTATCTTGAAATAGTCTCCCAGTTTCACATCTGCAGTTCACCTGCAATTCCTCTGCGCACCTGTGATGGAGGTGCCCCACCCCCACTGTCCTGCTGAAACTCTTCATGAGGACACCAAGGACCTCTGTGACAAAGGCTCCTAGACGCTTTTTAGATCTCATCTTAATCTCTGCAACATTTGACACCACTGACCTCATTCTTCTCTGTCCTCTCTGAGTGCTGCTTTTCAGCCTTTCCCACCCCTCTGTCCCTTAAATGTTGGTGTTCCTCCAATGACTTCTTCCCTCCATAGCTTATCAGTGGCTTTTGATCTTTTTGAGGGAAGGGGAAAGGGGAGGGCAGTCAAAGATCTCTTGGAGCATCAGTAAGAGTTTTCATCCCTCTCCTAAGAATTGCATGTGTGCCCACGTGTGGATTATTATTACACTTTCAGGAGGTGCCCAGATCCCAGAAGCCCACCTTGATCTCCAGGTTAAGATCCTCTGTTCTGTATGTGTTCGCTGGGTGATTCCGTCTAGTCTCCTGGCTTCAGATATGTGCAGAGGCTTCCAGAGTGGAATCTCCAGCCCAGGACTTCCTTCTAAATGCCAGCCTGTAAGCTGCGGGACCCCCCATTAGGATATCCCACAGACCCTTTCCATGTATGGTGTTGATGGGATTCATCATTTCTCTCCCCAACACCTAAACCAATTCTCCCCTGGTTTTCTTTATTTTAGTGAATGGTACCACCATCCACCCGGCTTCTGGCTCAAGCAGAAACTTGGGCGTCATCTTGGACTCCTTCCACGTACTCATTTCCCATTTCTATCGAGTTGCTAAATCCTGTTGATTATACTACTTAGCTAAGCTTTTGAATCTTTCCACTTCTCTGCTCCTCCGTTAGCAGTGAACACTATACTGTGGTTGGGACCATCATCATCTCTTGCTTGAACTTCTGTGAAAGCTCCCTAACTGGTCTCCCTGTGTCCAGTCTCTCCGTGGATAATCCCTCTGCTGTCAAAACATTCTCCACCCAACAGTCAGAGTGACCAAAAAATAAACCCAACTCAGGTCAAATTACTCCCCCGCTTAACATTCCCCAGTGATTTCCTACATCATTTACAATAACACCCAGACTTCTCTAACTCGACAACAAATACCAAACAGCCAAATTAAAAAATAGGCAAAGGACTTGAATAGAGATTTCTCCAAAGAAGATGTACAAGTGACCAATAAGCACATGAAAAGATGCTCAACATCACTGATCATTAGGGAAATGCAAATCAAAACCACCACGAGATACCAGCTCACACTCATGAGGATGGCTGCTATAACAAAAACAACAGCAAAAAACAGAAAACAGCAAGTGTTGGAGAGGATGCGGAGAAATTAGAATCCTTGTGCACTGTGGTGGGAGTGTAAAATAGTACCACTGCTGTGGAAAGGAGTATGGTGATTCTGCAAAAAATTAAAAATAGAATTACCGTATGATCCAGCGATTCCACTTCTGGGTCTGTACCCAAAAGAATTGAAAGCAGGGTCTCAAAGAGATATTTGTGCACCCATATTCACAGTAGCTAAAACTGTGGAAGCAACCCAAAAGTGTATCAACGGATGAATGGATAAGCAAAATGTGGTATATAAATAAAATAGAATGTTATTCAGCCTTAAGAGGGAAGGAAATTCTGATGAATGCTACACCATGAATGAACCTTGAGCACATTATGCTAAGTGAAATAAGCCAGCAACAAAAAAACAAATACAGTATGATTCCACTTATATGAGATACTGAGAGTAATCAAAATCATAGAAACAGAAAGTAGAATGATGGTTGCCGGGTCTGCCGGGAGGGGGAATGGGGAGTTAGTTAATGGGTGTAGAGTTTCAGCTTTACGAGATGAAGAGAGTTCTGGAGACAGATGATGGTGATAGTTCACAATATTATGAATATTTCATACCATTGAACTGTACACTTAAAAATAATTAAGATGGGGGGCCGGCCTGCT